ATGTTCTATGGATATCCATTAAACGTTCCCTGAACATTGCGTGCTATTAGGGTTGTGACGCGACGGACGACGCGACGCGTGACGCGCTAAGTGGGAACTCACTCATAACTACATGCTACCAACGCTATTCCTTCCGAGGTAGTGCGGTAGCGTTCGGTGAGCTTCGCGAACACTGTCGGTAGCATAGATAATATTTATATGGCGGTTAGACCGTTATAGACGTCCCTTAACACTATTCACAATAGATTAAGTGAGGTAGAAGTAGAAAGGGAAAGATAGATCATATATCCCTCTCTCTCGCAGGATTTTTATGCAACCGCAGTTGTTGGCCAAACTCTGCTTATAGTAGCTGCGTTCGGCATCGTAAATCGAATACATCGGATTGCTTTTGTATCTCGAAAATGAACAGAAGTAAGAGAGATACGAGATCTCGTATCTTTTTCATTTCTATGCATCTTCGAAATGAAAGAGCAATCCGATGTCTTAGATTTACAATGTCGAACGCAGCTAGTGGGTGCGTTCAGCGAACTCAATAGTTGCACAATAGTTGAACAATTCGTCAATGTAATTGGTCTAGATTTAGGGATCTAACAGTAAGAACCAATAATCGCTGATTGCTCATTGAGCGCTTTTTCCGCTGAACACGTCCAGTGGCTTAGTTTACATCGTGCACTTGATACGCGTACTAAATAGTAACTTTCTATTAGATAATTTTAATATCGACGATATATATAAACAACGGTATATTAAGCTGGGCATCAATCATGAATCTTTTCACGTGAGTTTAATTTTACCATCGATCATATAACTTTTTTTCCTAGTATGAAATCGTGAAAAGTGAGCAATTTCTAAATATTTGTAATAATTATTATAAACTTGTTTTATTTAATGCACATCTGTATTTATAATGCATAATATACTGTTGTAATTTTTTCTTTGTATATTTTATTTAAAATTCTTTATCATATAATTTCAATTTTAAAAAAGTATGCAACCATACAAAGTAAAATTCACTGAAGCAGTTGTCCACATTGTTTTGAATTGTGGAATACGCATGCGTAATATTACAATTTATATATTTGCGCATGATGATAGTATCATACTATTTTTCACGTTTTAGCCATCAACTGTGTAGGCTAAAACGTGAAAAGTAAGTGTGCGTATTTGTAGTATTTATATGGTAAAATAAAAATAATCTAGTAATTTCTTTGTTGGATGTTAGGCCATGAATGCTTCCGAAATACTCAGAGTTGGGTCGAGTTGAGTTATAGCGAATTCGGTTGCTTGCACTAGTGTGCACTGAGTGCGCACTAAGGCTTGTTCATAGTATGTTATTATATTTAAAAATTGTCTTAAATAATTCTCAAATAAATTCTCAAATATTTTTAACCATAATATGATATGTATAACATCCGTACGAATCATTTTATTAGTTAAAATGTTTTTAAATATGTATTTAAGACACGATCTTAAATATAAGAATGTACTGTAAACAAGCCTTAATGCGCACTCAGTGCGCACTAGTGCAAGCTACCGAATTCGCTATTAGTTTTACTATAGTTTATGTATCAACTCCACCCAGCGCATTTGCATAGAACATAATTACATTAAAGTGAGTAAAACAATAGATTATAAATATTCTCATGTTTGCTTATAATATTTCTTCATGTAATATATTATTTTTTTAGAATGAATGTAACACAAACAAAAAATAAAATAATAAAATAATAAAATAAATTATAATAATATAATAATAATTATTATTATCTATATAATTCCTGAAATTGTTTTTCTGGGATATCAAAAGGATCTTGAGTATATCTTAAAATTTTTACGCATAGTACGTAAATTCTCGTTTCTTTCGTTTTGTTGCTCATTAACTATCTACCATGCAGCAGCCATCGTAATTGATTAACTTATTATGAATATGGATATTACTTTTTACAAGAAATATCAATTCGCATGAAAGTTTTCACTTTTTCGCACTAAAATTTTCACTTTTTCGCTTTACGTGAAAATTTTCACTTTTTCACGAATTCATCCTAGGTGAAAAGATACATGATCGACCCCCTGGTATAATATTCATCAACAAAACATATTGATTGAATACGTCGCCGTTGATATGCATTGTCGATATTAAGATTATCTAATAGAAAGTTACTATTTAATATGCGCATCAAGTGCACGATGTAAACCAGGCCAGTGACTCTACTTGGAGCCAGAAGAATGGAATGGAGGGAGTGTCGACTTCTACGTCAACATTCGCCATGTTTAACGTTTAGAACATTGAATGGCATGGCGTGTGAATGTTTGGTTTCTTGTTACGTGAATGGCCGGTGACGCGAAGAGGGATCTGACGCGATACAAAGAGGATTTTTTCGTCTGTGAAGTGACGAGATGATCCGTAGCGTCGATCGCACCTCGTAAATGCGATCTTTCGGATCAGAATGCATGGACTTTGGGAGAGGAGCATGTTAATTATTTGCGTTCTCTGCTACCACTTTTTCTCTTGTTACGGTAGGTGCACAACGATCTCGAAACACAGCCCTTAAGAAAAATTACTTTAAGATGTTTAACTTAAAGTTGCTTAAAGTTACTTAAAGTTATTTATAGTTAACGGTAATTGTGAAGAAAACATCCGACCTTATCGATTTTACTAAAATTTGGTAAGATAGTGTATTTTGACGCGTAGAAACCAAATTTGAAAGCCAAAATCGTCGCTCTTTATGGTGAAGCGAGATATTAATTGATAAAGTTGATCACTTTTAAGGTTAGGAAAACTGTCATACCGACGATAACAACGCATGTATATGGCCTGTGGCCTCAGGGAGGTCCAGGGGGAGTTCGGGACTAAAAGTCTCCCGGTTTGACAAAAATAATCTAAAAAAAAAAAGTAAAAATATATCTCGCATGGCATGTTAAGTGTATGTTGTTTTTGTGAAATGTATTATTTTTTTTTTAGAATGTTATTTTTGTCAAACCGGGGGGG